CTGAAGACAGTCCCATTCTCTGCATCCTGACCTGTACTGTAATGAATGAGAAAGGAGTCTGTATAGAGACTCCTATTCATTCACAAACTGACATATAGTAAACACAGTTTACTGTCAGTGATGAATGAACAGAATGATCACTGTGTGCATTCAGGAAAGAAAAGGGGCTGGTAAATACATGCTGGTGGAAGGGGGGGGGGGAATCACTGGTGGAGGTATTGCAGGCATTTTAGACAAACGTTTAGTACAGGAGGAGAGGATATAATTTTAGGTTAGCTTGTTAGGCAGTAAACAGAGCTATCCTTTTGTTCAGCAGAGTCTGCTGAACATTTCTGCTATACATTCATGGTCACTGAACAGGAGGAATGAAGGTCTGTCCGTACAGACCTGGCTTGCTGGAAGCAGTGCTGTAGCTCCATACACTGTATGGACCTGGCAGTGAAACGGTTTAAACAGGGCAAGCTTTGAGGTAGAGGAACCAAGCCCCTGATATAAGTGTATCTGCCACTCCTCCCCCAACCTACCAAGGATGTAACATTTTCATTGTAATTTTTGTTCAAAAGGAAGTTGTTTATTCGCAGGGTCTAACACACATCTTCCCATAATCTAGAAGCCAGCTCCAAAACATTAGACACCAGCAACAAGGAAACATTCCGTGGTGGAAAAAAGTGGGGTAGGCAGGTGTGAGATTTAGAAACTAAAAAATTACAGCTTTGGTATCCAGTGACTGTAGGGGTTATGCTAGCCCTATCATTAAATGCTACCATCCATACTACAATGCAAGTAAAAGCTGAAATGCAGATTTTCATTGCTGCTATGGTACTTTAAAAGTATATGTAAACCCAAAAACAAAAATGTAATACTGTAGCTTAACAGTCCTAAATTGTGGTGGTTGTTCAGGCTAAGAATGTTTTCTGTGATAACAGAAAATACCTGTTAATCCTGTCAAAAACCTGGTGTCCTTATAACTTCTTGTGCATTAAACTGAAACCTCAAACAATGTTATCAACTTTCTCAGCTATCTTCTTTGAACTTCAAAACAACACACCTCTATATAACATAGATTAGGAGGGGGAGTTTGTAGTCCAAATCAGGAAAGCAGACTAGGGTGACAACACTGCCCCTCCATAGATACATATATATATATATATATATATATATTTATATATTATTTATTTTTTTTTTTTTTTTTTTTTTTTTAATTGATCAATCCTGATGTACTGACTGCAGATCTCATTTCTTAAAATGCCCTAAAATGCCAGGACAAATCAAATACCCCCCAAATGATCACTTTTTGGGAAGTAAACCGTCTGAGGTATTTAGTAAGAGGTATGGCAAGTTTTTTCAAGTTGTAATTTTTAGCCACAAGTTTTTGGAAAATGAAGAAATTAAAATTTATTTTTCTTTTCCTAATTTTTCTTTTTTACATACTGTCTCCAGAGCAGTATAGCATCATCATCATATGACTGGTGTGGCAGTGATCAGGGATACTGCCTGGTGACAGTGTAAAAGTAAAAATAAAGTGTATCATTTTCTTCAATTTTTTAAACTTTTTTTTTTTTTTAATTTATCTTTTCTTTTTAAACATACCATGACCAGAGCAGTGCAGTGTTACCAAAGTGTACCGCACTAATCTGGGGAAGTGATCAGGATTTTTTTCCAACATTATAATTGCTTATAACCGTAATCATTACTGTTATAAGCAATCATTGGCATCCATTCATTCACAGTCATTCATTGAATATTATTGTGATTAGCTGTGATTGACCACAGCTATCACATGGCACAGATGCACTGTGATAGGTCCTGTCTGTACTATGTCATCATTGTGAGTCACAGAGATCATCACAATGATACACAATGAAATGCTATGAATAAAGCCATTCATTGTGTACAACTGTGCTGTGATTGTCCAGAGGACACAGCAGGCGACAGATCATGCTGCAGCATGGCCCCTAGGGCACGTGACTGGGAGATGTCATATGATATCCACCAAGGATAGGAGAGTTCCCGTTCGGCCGTCATTTTACAATAGTCCATTTACACCTTCCTACATGCAATCCGATCCGACAAAAACAGACATATGGGGATCTGTTCCCCTTCCATTTAGCAGATCGGATGGTAGTTGGGTGTAAATGGACAGGCAGCCTGGTTACATCTGACCTACCAGAGACGAGAGCGAGCTGTGTCTGTGTCCGCTCTACATGAGTGGAGCAGACACAGACCAGCCATCCACCTGCTCAGCTGGATCAGTGGACAGATCCCTAACTGAGCAAGCCAATTCCTTGTGGAGTCCAGCCCATGTGGAAGGGGCTAAAATCTGTTTTTTTTCTAATCTTTTCGTCACTGTAGTCAAAACAGTATTTAAGTCAACACAGTGACTAGATCTTGAAAGGAGCAGCATCTCACAGAGGAGGTCATCTTTCTGATCTTAGAAAGTTCCATCTGTTAGATTCACAGCACTGTGTAATTAAGTATAGGCTGGCTGGGTAAGAGTTTTGCCATTCCCTTCCTGCTACCAATCTGAATACCATTATACAGGAGGTAACAGGAAGATGGTAAATGACAGACAGGTGTCATTTAAAAATGCACTGCATGCAAACTATTTTTTATTGAATGCATGACAATTAATCTGGGGTGATGTATAGCTGGTGACAATTACACATTACAAGCAACATGAAAATATTGGGTTACATCCACAAATGTTCACAAACACCTACATTTTAGCAAGCCATCTGGCTTTAGTTTCAGGTAGCATGAGAAAGTGTTCAAACTTCTGTCAGGTTTATACTGCTATGCCTCCATTAGGAAGATCAACCATCTCTATTTGGCCTGATGACATTTACCTTCAATACAGGAAGTGATGGATCATCCAAAATTCAAAGACATCCACAGAGTTGTCACAGGAACAGGAGGTGAGGTAAGATCTTTCAATAGGAACACCTGTTCTGGTGTCAACTGTCCAAGAGAAGATTTACCCAATGATTTGAGAGATTTCTTTTTACACACTCTGGTGTCTGTGAGACAGAAACTGAAGGAAAATCTCTCCAAGAGGACACAGCAATGGAATTTTCAACTGTGCAATAATCAATATCAGCTACAGTGCATTTACACTTCAGTACAATACTAAAGCCATGATCAATGGCACATTGATCGATGATGTACATTGCTCTTTGCCATGCTAAATAAGCTTAAAGATGTTTGTGACAGGAGTGACTTTTGGGTGTGTGGGGGACCTCTGTATCATCTCCATAAATTCTTATGTTAAAGTGACCCTGTGCCTGTTAGGGTACAGGGTGTGTATGTGAATGTGTTGTCCTTTGTTATCAGCCACATGGCTGTCTATTGTCTTTTGCCATGTGCTGCCCCATTGTTCTGTGTCTTGGTTGGATGGGGAGGGGTGATGATGTGTTTCCTGCCCTGTGTATATAAGTTGTTGTGTATGTAAAATAAAAGAGTTGGCTTCCTGTTTTAAGAAGAGCTGGGTGCTGTCTATTTCCTGAGGGATTTCAAGGGTGCGGTCCATGGATGGTGTTCGGACAGGGGAAGCTGCGGTATAAACGGAATATACCCAAGAGTGGTCGGGTTCCGGTTCCGTTACATTGGTGGCAACAGTGGGATAATGTAACGGAACCGGAACCCGACCACTCTTGGGTATATTCCGTTATACCGCAGCTTCCCCTGTCCGAACACCATCCATGGACCGCACCCTTGAAATCCCTCAGGAAATAGACAGCACCCAGCTCTTCTTAAAACAGGAAGCCAACTCTTTTATTTTACATACACAACAACTTATATACACAGGGCGGGGAAATACATCATCACCCCTCCCCATCCAACCAAGACACAGCACATGGCAAAAGACAAGAGACAGCCATGTGGCCGAGAGCAAAGGACAACACATCAATACACAATAGACATTCACATACACACCCTGTACCCTAACAGGCACAGGGTCACTTAAACATAAGAATTTGGGGAGATGATACAGAGGTCCCCCCACACCCAAAAGTCACTCCTGTCACAATGTTTTAAAGGCATTTTTTTTAAAATTAAAATTACAAACATGTTATACACGCATGCTCTGTGTATAGCACAGAGCAGCCCCGAATCCCCCTATAAGTTCTGGCTCCTCTTCTGTATCTGCTCTGAGCTGGGCTGTGTATGTTCACTGACACACACAGCCTGGCTCGGCTCCGCCCCCCGCCCCCAGGATTTGACTGACAGCAGCAGGTTCCTACTACTCTCAGCCAAGGTTGTGAGAGTGGGGAGAGAGAAGAGAAGACTAGCAGATAGGTACAGCACTGGATTGATATAGGACTCTGATAAGTTATTTTGGGGGGGAGGGCACAGCAGAAAATGCGTTAAGGTAATATTATTATTATTATTATTATTACAGGATTTATATAGCGCCAACAGTTTGCGCAGCGCTTTACAATATAAGGGAGACAGTATAATTACAATACATTTCAGTACAGAAAGAATAGGAGGGCCTGCTCGTGGAGCTTACAATCTAAAGGACGGGGGAGGTGATACAAAAGGTGATAGCGGCGGTGGATGATCTGGCGGAGGTGATTCAAGTACAGTTCTTAGCTGGAGGTGGGGTAGGCTTCCCTGAAGAAGTGAGTTTTCAAAGATCGCCTAAAGGCAGACAGGGTGGGGGCTGACCGGACATGCTGTGGTAGGGAGTTCCAGAGGATGGGAGAGGCTCTGGAGAAGTCCTGGAGGCGAGCGTGGGAGGAGGTGATGAGGGAACTAGAGAGGAGGATATCATGGGAGGAGCGGAGTGGGCGATTTGGGCGGTATCTGTGGATGAGGTTGGTGATGTAGCTAGGGGCAGTGTTGTGGATGGCTTTGTAAGCTGTTAGTATTTTGAATTTTATACGTTGGGTTAGTGGAAGCCAGTGGAGGGATTGGCAGAGAGGGGCAGCAGTCGTTTCTAATAAAAAAAAAAATGTACTTTTAAAACCACTTTAAATTCAAAATACTATTACGCTTACCTGATTGAAGTGTCCCTGGCAGTACTGCTGAGCTTGGGGGATGTGGAAGACTTCATCCATGTATGGGTCCCTCTGTTCTCGTGTGATTTTTGAGAACAGTATGCTGGATAGAAGAAAACAGCCACTGAACAGAGCAGAAAAGTAATAGCCTTCAAGTCTGTCCATTCTTTACACAGCAGTCTAAGGCTGGAAGAGAAAAGATCATTAGAGGAAATCAAGATGTGCCACAGAGACCATAATACAGCAGACTAGCCAAAAATGTAACGTCTAAAAAGTGGTCATGAAGCTAAATATTCCTGCAGATAACTTCACAAACCTCTCGTCTGCCCATAGACCGCATTTTCAGTTCCAGATATTTAGAAAGAATAATAGTTGGGATGGGGGATGGGGCATATCTGTCAAGCTCAAGAAAAAAAAAAAATAATTCACATGACCAGATTTTAATGAAATGTCATCTCACTTCAAATCATAGTGTTGGGTGATTCATCAAGGAGCTTAGACTCTTGTGTGTTTTCTCAATAAAGACAACAGATGAAAAAATAATTCAATGAAGAGTCCAGTGCTAAAATCCCCTGACTCCCTTACATTCATTATTGCTTCAAGTATTATTAAGACGTATTGCTGTTGTTTTCCTTGCAAGGTTGCATAACAGACAAAATGGAAGATGAATGAAGATGGTCTTCTTCATTATTCTATGCTTTCTCCAAATATTACCAGTTTGTGCACACAACTCCCAAAGACTGTTGGCTTCTTTAGACAACAAACCATGCCTTCTATCACTTGTGTTACACTATGCAGCCATGAATTTTATGAAGGCCTTGAAGATCGCTCAAGTAGAACATTAAACACCGTAAAGAAAAGAAACTTCTTTGTGGGTTTTAATGGAACTGATTGGGCACCTCATCTCTTTATCTCAATCATCTCTTCATTGAGTAGCCCCACTACATAAGTTGGCTCAAGGTCCAGGACTTCCCCAATTACAGACATTGTTGTCTTCACAAATGAACCCCTGCTCCTTACCAGTATGAAGCACCTGAATAAATGGGCTCAGGAGGTAGTATTTCCCCCCCTTGTGTGGAATAATCACAAGAATTGCAGAAAAACGGTTGTTTCACCTTCCTCTTTACCAAATGCAAAAACTTGAATTGTAAGAAAAGCCTAAGGGCCAGTGCACACTATAGAAATGCAGTCCAGATGCATTTTTGCATGCACATTTTTGATGTGTTCCAGTGCTTTTCTATGCATTCCAGTTCATTTTTTTCCCTCTCTTTTTCTTCAATTCAAATAGGGACATGCGCGTTTCAGTGCGTTTTACCACGTTCCAGTGCAGTACTGTACAGAAAAAAAATGCAGCATGTTCTACTTTGTTTTCTGCAACTGGAACTGCAAGAACTGATGTAAACAATGACATTGACAACCATATAACCTATTTTCTGTGCATTTTGGATGCAGAAAAAAAAGCAACTGAAAGGCATGTAGTGTGAACTGGCCCTAACACTAACTATTCTTCAAAACAATCCCTCCCCCTCCTCTTATCTTCCCTGCATATTAGTGGTGCACCGAAATGAACATTTTTGCATCGAAACTAAAAATTCAGGATGCATTTGGCTGAAAACCAAAGCCGAAATGGACAGTTTTGTATATTTGTATATATATATATATATATATATATATATATATAAAAAATTGTATTATATTCAACTTTTTCATTAATATCATGAATTTTAATGAATATGAATTTAAAAACAAAAGGTGCAAAAAAAAAAAAAAAAAAAAAAACTGAAGAAAAATGCATCCCTTTAAATTCAATGTATGTCTTCACATTGGTCTGCTGCGCTTCCCTTGAGGTGTTAAAAATCCTGTTTGCCCCATTTTTAGCACATATTTGACGTGTTTAAAAACATAAAATGCACCAAAAATGTACCTCCCCATTGAGGTGTGGTTCACACCAATGTGTTTTTTAGGGCTTTTTGCAGAAATGCACTACAGTCCATTTAACATGGTTTCCTATGGGACAAGTTCACATCTATGCTTTTTTGAGCTGCTGTGTTTTTGAAAGGGTCAGGGGATTTTTTTAATTGCAAAATACATTGCGTTTTTGGTTCAACAGACGTCAATAGAGATGCTGCAGAAAATGCATGTAGTGCGTTTTACATGATTTCATGCGTTTGCCATGCTTTTTTTCAGCATCTTCCATTTTTCATCTGCCCAGCAACAAGTTGGTAAAAAAAAAAAAAGAAATAATACAAAAAACAGAAAAACACATAAAAACGCATGTGCAAAAACGCACCACAAAAAGGACATAATGCAAACTGCATTAATGTGAACCGGGTCAAAATGCATTGAAAACACATAAAAATTGCACACGTGTTGCGTTTTTTTTTTTTGTGTTTTGCATTTTTAATCTGCCCAGCAACACATTGGCCCAAAAAAAAAATCATTCAAAAAACGCAAAACACATAAAAAAGCATCCAATATGCACTGCAAAACGGACAAAATTCAAACTACAGGCCTAAAATGTGTTTTATGTGTTTTCAGGTTTTCAATATGCCCAGAAATAAGTTGGCCAAAAAAAAAAAAAAAATCAGAAACCGCAAAACGCATCAAAAACGCAATGCAAAACGGAAAAAATGCAAACTGCATTGGTGTGAACCAGGCCTGAAATGCATTGAAAAACCATAAAAATGCACACGTGTTGCGTTTTGATGCGTTTTTTCTTAGTTACACAACCTATGAAAAACAGACTCCAAATGTGGTAAAATCGTGGAAAATCGCAGCTAAAACAACAGCAAAATCGCATGTGTTCAGCGGCTATATTCGGCAAAATGCCGATAGCACTATTTTCCGCCGCTGATATAACAGTGCATCCCTACTACATATCCTGTGTGTGTGTATGTGTATGTGTGTGTATGTGTATGTGTGTGTATGTGTATATATATATATATATATATATATATATATTATATAATCTGCATACTTTTTTTTTTTTTTTAATAGGCTCTGGTCTGGTCATGCAGCTTCAGCTTCCCTGTGTCAGGGAGTGGCTGTAGTGGCACAGAGGAGAGGACACATAGGCCATGGGAGCCTATGGGTGATGTCTCACAGCTTTCAGATCTTACAGCCATTGTCGAGCGCCCTCTTATACAGGATTACAGGATCCCAGAACCGTAGTTGCAGGATCACAAGACTGGACTGGACCGTATTAACAACTTGCCGCCCCAACACAGTTCATTTACTGCGACATGTGCAGATTCAGTCACGTATATATACGTGATTGAGCCTGCACATGTTTAGGAGCGTGCAGCATGCCCTTCCTGTGACCGCTGTGTACACCGGACACAGTGGATCACGGTTACCGGTAACGATGTATCATGTGATCGCTATCACTGGCCATAGAGATCACATGAAAATAATGTAAGCAACCTGTCATGAATGGTTTCCCATACATGAACAGCTTGCTCACTGATGTGATCTGTGATTGGCCCACAGAAATCACATGGTACCTGCCTACCTTTACCATTTGATTAGCTTAGTCAATCACAGACCAAAATCAATAGCAAGCTGTTCATGAATGGGAAACCCACTCATGACAGCTAAAGCTATTGCCTATACAGTCATCTGCACTGTATAAGCGATAACAGTGTAGTACAGTGAAAAAAAAATTTGAAAGAAGAAAAAAAAAAGTAAAACATTGAACAAAAAATTATTATTTTTTTTTACATACTGTCATCAATCAGTATACCTGATCACTGCCACACCAGTAATATAATGAAACTTTACTGCGCTGGTGACAGTATGTAAAAAAAAATTTCCTCATCTTCCAAAACATGACAAAAAAAAATTACAGCTTCAAAAAAACTTGCCATGCTCTTACTAAATGCCTCAGTCTGACTACTTTCCAAAAAGGGGTCAATTGGGTGGTAACTGTACTGTCTTGGAGTTTTAGATCCTCAGGAAATGCGAGACCATCAGCACATCAGGATTGATCAATTTTCAAATATATATTACAGTTTGTGGCAGGGTGGATTTGATTTAAATCACGATTTAAATCACTAGTCAGTAAGGCATGATTTAAGTCATAGTTTTTTTCTACATAGACTAATTCTTGCTGGTATAACTTTAATATGCAAGTAGATGAAGAATTTTAGAATAACAACTTTTCAGATTAGTTTTTTTATCCCCAGTTTAATAGGTTAATCATTCATATTTGGACAACTTTTCTGTTGTACTTAGGAAGGAGAAAAATAATCATTACCTTAATAATACCAATTTAAATAGATTTATTCAACTGAAACAATAACATTCCAGCATATGTTATTCGCTTAAACAAACATCCATGTTTGTTAACTAATTTGGCTAAACAAAATATATATATTTTAAGAAACGTAGACTGTCAGCCCCTTCCTCCTCACACTTAGTTTCACTTTCTTCTTGTGCAGATCTATTCCACTCCAAACAATCAGAAAAATATTGTTTCTATTCTATTCACTGAACTTCTTGAAATTTAGCACTGAAGGGGTGGATTCTGTATTCATAGGTTTGTAGAAGTTAGGATTAAGGTCTTTTTCTTAACTCTGTTCATGTTATAACATTTTTGCTGTAAAGAAGAGGCATGTGATCTCCGCTGAGTCAAATTCAGTTTTGAGAACTGCAAAAGTAAACCAAGCATTTGTGATAATATCTTGTAGGCAGAGAAACTGCCCAATAATCTTACAAAAACCTCTGGAAGAGCATGACATTGTGAATGGATTATGGAATTTATTTACTAAAAAAATTAAACATATACAGCCTTCTTCTACACAATTAAAAAACGAATCTTTATTTCATGATGGAATAACCTTTGGATGGTAATATATTTTCCTCAAAAAGCATTTTATTTAAAAAAAATCTGATTTAAATAAAAAAAATCCGATTTTTTTTATTTTTTTTTAAAAATCCTTGATTTTTATCCACCCTGGTTTGTGGACAATATAACTTTCACACAAACCAATTAATATACACTTATAAGGATTGTATATATAAGGATATAATAAAAAAAAATAAATATAAACAATATTTTCAACCCAGTAGTGATCAAATACCGCCAAAAGAAAGCTCTAGTTATGTGAAAAAATGATAACAATTTCATTTGGGTACTGTACTGCATGACTGCACAATCGCCAGTT